AGCAGCAGCAGCAGCAGCAGCAGCAGCAGCAGCAGCAGCAGCAGCAGCAGCAGCAGCAGCAGCAGCAGCAGCAGCAGCAGCGTACGCGGCTGGCAAAGGCCTGCGATAAGCGCCCCAAAGAGGCGAGGGACATTTCGCGCAAGCCTCGGGGGGTCCATAGCAGCAGCAACACCAATTAGAGAAGCTGTTGCTCCATTTTGCTGCTGCTGCGCTGCTGCTGCTTGCTCCAGCAGCTGCGGCAGCACTGCGTGGGGCTGCTCCCGCAGCAGCAGCTCGAAGCCCTGCAGCTGCGCGGCCCTTCCTGCTGCAGCAGCAGCAGCAGCGTCTTCGTGGCTCAGCAGCGGCGGCCGCAGCAGCTGCTGCAGCAGCGGGGGAATCAGCTTCCCGGAGACCTCGGCGCCCATTGTCTCCAGGCAAACAGCAGCAGCAGCAGCAGCAGCCTGCTGCACTGCTGCGTCTTTGTCTTGCAGCGCCCGCCGCAGCAGCAGCAGCAAAGCCTCCACGTTAGCAGCAAGAGCAGCACGAGAGCCGCTGCGGAATATTTCCAGCAGCCCCTGACAAACTCCCCGGCGAGTCGACGGGTCCGGCGATCCCAGCGACTGCAGCAGCAGCAGCAGCAGCAGCAGCAGCAGCAGCAGAGGCTGGAAAGCGGGGCAGAACGCGCCGCAAGAGCGACAGCCCGAAGCAGCAACGCAGCGGCAGCAAGCAGCAGCAGCAGCAGCAGAACCAGCAGCAGCCCAAGAAACACCAGCAGCAGGAGAATCCGCAGCAGCAGCAGCAGCAGCAGCAGCAGCACAAGAAACACCAGCAGCAGGAGAATCCGCACCAGCAGCAGCAGCAGCAGCAGCAGCCCAAGAAACACCAGCAGCAGGAGAATCTGCAGCAGCAGCAGCACGAGCAGCAGCAGCAGCAGGAGCAGCAGCAGCAGCAGGAGCAGCAGCAGCAGGAGCAGCAGCAGCAGCAGCAGGAGCAGCACCTGTTCGAGGTAGGGGATGAGCTGCGGGAGGACCTGGTCTGCCATTTTGTGTGCGAGTGCGCCGATGCACCTGGCAGCAGCTTTTTGCTTCTGCTGCTGCCGCTGCAGCGCAGCAGGAGCAGCAAGATTGGCAATGAGTCTGCGGGTGAGGATGGGGAGGATTTCTTTGAGAGTTTTTGCAGAGTTTGCAACAACTCTTTTCCATGCTGCTGCTGCAGTTTGTCGAACAGCAGCACTTTCGTCGCAGCGAGCAGCAAAAAGCGAAGCAAGAATGAAGTTCCTGCGTTCGAGGGAAAGGATTTCGGTGTGGACTGCGTCTTCTGCTGCTGCTGCTGCTGCTGCTGCAGCAGCAGCGTCGTCGCTGCCGCGCAGCAGCCGCTGCAGCAGCAGCCCCAGCAGCTGCGTGCTGCTGCAGCGCAGCCGCCAGTCGCCCGCATGCAGCCCCTCCTCCAGCGGCTGCAGCAGCAGCGCAGTGTGAGCAGCAGCAAACAACTCCACGCAAACTTCAGCAGCACGAAGTGCAACATCTCTTGCTGCTTCCTCCTCAGCAGCAAGGCCCTGCAGCACAACTGGCAGCACTTGGGGAACGAAGTCTTGGAAGTCTTTTTGAAAAGCTCTTGGCAAGAAAACAAAAAGTCCCAGGAAGCCTTCGCGGGCCCCGGGGGGCCCCCCCGTGTCTGCTGCTTGCTGCAGCAGCTGCGGCAGCAGCTGCTGCAGCCGCGCGGGGCCCCACGCCAGCAGCAGCTCCGACAGCGCGTTGGCTGCGCCGCTGCGCGCCACGCTGCTGCTGCTGCTGCTGCTCAGCGTCTGCAGCAGCCACTGCAGCAGCTCCGCCAGCTCCTCCTCGCCCACGCCGCGGGCCACGGCCCCACAGGCTCTTGCTGCTGCAGCACGAACGGCTGGGATCGGATCCCCGAGGGCCTGCTGCAGCGGCGGCAGCAGCTGCGGCAGGTACGGCAGCAGCAGCTGCTGCTGCTGACACAGCAGCCCCAAGGAGCCGATGATTTCTGCTGCTTTCCGCTTGACTTCGCTGCTGCTGCGCTCGCTGATGGCCCGGACTAGAACTGGAATGCAAAGAGATAGTGCTGCTGCTGCTGCTGCTGCATCTGAGAAGCAGCAGCAATCCAGAGTCAGCAGCGAGTCGAGAGCTCTCTTGGAGTTTTCCAAAGAGGGGTCTTTGAGGGCCTGCAGCAGCTGCGGCACCGCCTGCTGCAGCTGCGGCGCCTCGACTGCAGCAGCAGCAACGGACTGCAGCGCAGCAGCAGCAGCAGCACGAACTTGCTGCGGCAGGCAGGCGTCGCTAGCCACGTCCGTCAGCAGCGGCACTGCCTTGTCCACGCAGATGGCTAGCTGCTTCGGGTTGCAGCTAGCCATGGCAGCTAGCAGCTGCAAGCTAGCCACCTTGGCTTTGCACTGCGGCTGCTGCAGCTGCTGCGTCAGCAGCAGCAGCACGCGGCGCAGCCCGTGCGCGCTTTGCTGCTGCATCAGCTGCCGCGCGGCCTGCTGCGCTGCAGCACGAACTGGTGCTGCTGCGTCCCCCAGGCACTGCAGCAGCTGCTGCAGCAGCAGCAAAGTGTACGGCTCGAACAGCCGGCCCAGACTCTCCCCCAGCGCCTCCACGCACAGCAGCGCCCCCTGCCGCCCCACACTTTCTTTTGCTGCTAAGGCCTGCTGCAGCTGCTGCAGCACTTCTTCTTTCTTCAAACTCAACAGCCCCAAACCCTTCACGCATGCAGCAACTCCCAGGGAGGCCCCCCTCCTCACTGGCAGGTCGGGGGCCCCCAAAGCTGCTGCTAGCAACCGCTGCAGCAGCTGCTGCGCGGCAGACCGCTCCTGCTGCTGCTGCTGCTGCTGCTGCTGCGGCTCCTGCTGCTGCTGCTGCTGCTGCTGCTGCGCAGGAGCAGCAGCAGCTAGCAGCTTCACCAGCGGGGTCAGCGGCCGCGACAGCAGCCGCTGCACTTCGGCGGAAGGAGCAGCAGCAGACAGCAGCGAAGCTTCCAGCCGCTGCACTATTGGCAGCAGCAAAGGATCATCTTTGCTCATCTTTTCCGCCAAAGACCCGCAAAACAAAGCATGAGCTGCCTGAGCTGCTGCTGCTGCGCGGTCCTCAGCCTCCTCGCTGCTGCTGCTGCTGCTGCTGCTGCTGCTGCTTTTGCCGCTGCTTCTGCCACCGCTGCTGCTGCTGCTGCTGCTGCTGCTGCTGCTGATGCTGCTGCTGCTGCTGCTGCTGCTGAACTTGCTGGCGCAGCTGTCGAGGTAGACGAAGATCTCCCGCCGCAGCGCGTCGCCCTCCGCGCTGCGGATTGCTGCAACACCAGCAGCAAGAAGTTCCTGCTGCAGCAGCGGGTCGGCCAGGGCCTCGGGACACACGAGGCTGTGCTGCAGCAGGAACTGCAGCAGCTGCAGCAAAGTGTCAGCAGTCTGCAGCAGCCCGCGCTCGGCGCAGCAGCGAAGCGCGCTAGCTGCGCCGTGCATCACCGCCAGCTCCGGGCCTGTCCGCAGCTGCTGCTGCTGCTGCTGCTGCTGCTGCTGCTGCTGCTGCTGCTGCGCGGGAGGCGCCTCTTCCTCTGCTGCAGCTGCCGCAGCAGCAGCACTTGCTGCTGCTGCGGACCTGCCCTTCCCCTTGCCCTTCACGGTCCCGCCAAAAATGTCCGCAGCGTCCAGCTCCTTCTTCTTGTACACCATCCCTTGCTGCTGCTGCTGCTGCTGCTGCTGCTGCTCCTGCTGCTGCTGCTGCTTGGGGGCTGCGAAGGGACCCTCCAACGCACGCCGACCCATAAACAAGTCCAGCAGCAGCAGCAGCGCTGCTGCTACTGCTGCTGCCCCGCCGGCCTCGTTCTCCACTTCAGCAGCAAACGCCTGCGCTGCCTGCAGCAGCAGCAGCAGCAGCAGCCAAAACCCAGCAGCAGCAACATGCAGCAGTGCGGCGGAAAGCAAAGAATGCAGCAGCAGCAGCAGCGAAGTTCGCAGCAGCAGCGAAGAACTCAACACAAGAATTGGCAGCCGCACCGGCATCAACTGCAGCACAGCCAGGCGAGGCAGCAGCAGCAGCAGCAGCAGCAGCAGCAGCAGCAGCAAATGGAGATACCATTTCTCTGAAAGTTTTGTCTGGGCAGGCGAGCAGCTGCGAGAGGACCTGGAGGTGCTGCTGCGCATCCCCCTTTAGCTGCTGCGGCAGCTGCTGCAGCAGCTGAGAAGCAAGTTTGGGAGTTTCAGGATCAGCTTTGTCTTGCTGCAGCACGAGAAGAGCAGCAGCAAAAAGAGGAGCAGCAGATCCGACGGAGTCCAGAGGAAAGTGCTGCAGCGCAGCAGCAACGGCCTTGCGAGTTGCTGCTGCTTCGCTCGTGGCCAGCAGCAGCAGCTGCGGCAGCTGCTGCTGCTGCAGCAGCTGCCCAGCAGCAAGACACAGCGCCTCCTGCCCTGCTGCTACCAGCCCCGGGTGCGCGCGCAGCACAGCAGCAAGACAAGCAGCAACAGCAGCAGGGTCGAGTTTGGCCCGCAGCCGCAGCTGCTGCTGCAGCAGCAGCAGCGCCTGCTTGCATGCAGGTGCTGCTGCTGCATCTGCGCGCAGCAGCACAGCAGACACCAGCGGCAGCACCAGCTGGCTGCCAGCTAAGGAGAGGGCCCCGCCGCAGCGCCCCGTGGACAGCACTGCAGCAGCAGCAGCAGCAACTTCCCGCTGCTGCTGCACCAGCAGCAAAGCGTCAGCAAGAGCAGCACGCCTTGGCAGCACAGCAGCAGCAACTGCTGCTTTCACCAGCTGCCGCAGACACTGCAGCGCGCTGCTGCAGGTGATGGGGCAGCGCAGCATCAGCTCCAGAGTAGGCAGCAGCAGCACCTCGCCTCCTGCTGCTGCTGCTGCTGCTGCTGCTGGTGCTGCTGCTGCTGCTGCTGCTGCTGCTGGTGCTGCTGCTGCTGCTGGTGCTGCTGCTGCTGCTGGTGCTGCTGCTGCTGCTGCTGCTGCTGCGGGTGTTGGTGCTGCTGGAGCCAGCAGCAAGTCTGCACATTCGCTGCCCGCGCCGCTCACGAGATACCCCAGCTGCAGCAAAACTCTGCTGCAGCGGCGCTGCAGCCGCAGCAGCTGCTGCCGCTTCTGCTGCTGCTGCTTCAGCCCCTCCTGCTGCAGCTGCTCTCGGGTGAGGCTCTTCTGTCCTTTTGCTGCTGCTCCCGCTGCTGCCTTTCCGTGTCCGCCTGCTGCCCCGCGGCCAGCAGCAGCGCCTTTGCTGCTGCTGCTGCTGCTGCTGCTGCTGGGCCGCGCTGCAGCAGCAGGAGCAGCAGCAGCAGAACTTGTTGCTGCAGGCACGTAAACTCCGTCAATTACAAAAAGAGTGTCATTGGGGGCGAAAAACATAGCAGCAATATCAGGAGTGCATGCAGCAACTTCTGCTGCTGGCAGCTGCTGCACTAGACTGCAGCAGCAGCTCGTGCTGCTGCTGCTGAGCCCTGCGAGGGCCTCGCGCCAGTTGCTGCTGGTGCAGCGGCCCCGGGCCTTCGGCGCCTCCAGGCTTAGCTGCTGCAGCTCCTGCTGCTGCTGCTGCTGCTCCTGCAGGAAGCAGCTAGCAGCAGCAGCAACTCCGTCGCAGGCGCGGCCTATGCCGCTGCAGTCGCTGCAGTCCGTGTCCGCTTCTCCAGAAGCAGAGAGCGGCAGCAGCTGCAGCAGCTGCTGCCAGTCTACCACCCCGCTGCTGCTGCTGCTGCTGCTGCTGCTGCTGCAGCAAGTGCGCCTCGACAGCAGCAGCAGCACCGAACGACACAGGGGAACTGAGCTGCGTCCTTCTTCTCTTGCTGCTGGGTGAGCAGCACACAGCAGCAGCAGCGCATTCAGCCCAGGTCTTGCTGGGTGCAGCTCCTTGCTGCTGCTGCTGCTGCTGCTGCTGCGCTGCACAGCAGGAACAAGCAGCCGCACGAGCTGCTGCAGCAAAGACTGCAGCATGCTGCTCTTTATCCCTGCTGCAAACTCATACCTTCCCGCTGTAGCTGCTGCTGCTGCTGGGGACACAGGTGCTTTAACTTTATTGCTGTTGTTGCTGCTGCTGCTGCTGCTGCTGCTGCTGCTATTTGCTGCATGTGCTGCAGAGACCTCGCAAAGCAGCTGAAAGAAAGCCAGCGCAAGTTGAGCAGCAACAGCGTCATTTGTTGCTGCTGCTCGCTGCAGCAGCAGCAAGCTGGAGGTGTAGCTTTCTTCTACTTGCTTCCCTCCGTGCTGCCCTATTGCTGCTGCAGTGCCTTCTGCTGCTGCTGCTGCTGCTGGCGAGACGTGGAACTGCTGCAGGTGGCAGAGCACGCGCAGCAAGCCCATGTAGAAGGGCGGCTGCAGCGCGTTTTGCTGCTGCTGCGTCTTCTGCTGCAGCTGCTGCTGCTGCTGCTGCGTTGCAGCAGCAGCAACTGCACTTGCAATATCCCAAGCAGCAGCACACAAACCCTCGCTGCTGCTGCTGCAGCAAGATGTGGCAGTTAGCTGCCGCCCCCCCAGCGGCTGCTGCAGCCGCATCAGCAGCTGTCCGTACACCCGCAGCTGCAGCAGCAGCTCGTCGCGCGACTGCTGCAGCAGAGGAAGCAGCAGCAGCGCAGCAGCAGCAGCTGCACAGCAGCAGGGCCCGCTGCCTGCGTTAGGGTTTAGGGTTTAGGGTTTAGCGTTTAGGGTTTGGGCCTGGACTTGCCTTGTGGGTCGGAAGCGAGAAGCACGAATTTGCTTCTGCCCAGAGAGCTGCTGCTGCAGCAAGCGAGGGGCTCTGTGCACTGTCCAGCTGCTGCTTTGCTGCTGCTGCTGCTGCTGCTGCTGCTGCTGCTGCTCCCTGCGGCAGCTGCTCAATAAGCAGCCACAAAGACCAGGCCCTGAGAGATGCAGCACGCAGTGCTGCTCGTGTGCTGCATGCGCTGAGGAGCGGCAGCAGCTGCTGCAGCAGCTGCTGCAGCACCTGCTGCGTCTCTGCTGCTGCAGGCCCTTCTGCTGCAGCTGCTGCTGACACAATTCTCTCCAGAGCTTCCTCTGCAGCAGCAAGCAGCAGCTGCTGCTGCTCTCCAGAGACAGTCCCCTTTTTGTTGGCAGCAGCACAGAAGCCGCCTAGCTGCTTCAGCCCCTGCTGCAGCAGGTGCTGCAGCTGCTTCTGCTGCTCGGGCGCGCCGCTGCTGCTGCTGCTGCTGCTGCTGCGCCGCAGCAGCAGCGGCAGCACGCGACCCAATAAACTGCAGCACGCGGCCTTCACGTCGTCGTTCACATCTGCTGCCAGCAGCGCATGCACTTTGCTGCTGCTGCTGAGGTGCTGCTGCAGCTGCTGCAGCTCCTCAGCAGACACTGTTGGCTCTTGCAGAGCGGTGGGAGTGCATGCAGTTGCTGCCTGTGAAGCAGCAGCAGCAGCAGCAGCAGCAACAGCAGCAGCACTCCCCTAAGCAGCAGCAGCAGCAGAGAAGCCCTCAGCAGCAGCAGCAGCAAGAGGCAGCCAGCAGCAACGGCTGTGTCCCAAGAAGCCAGAGCTGCAGCAGCAGCAGCACCACCAAGAGCAGCGGGAGCAGCAACAGCAGCAGCAGCAGCAGCAGCAACAGCAGCAGCAGCAGATATACCTGCAGCAAAGCGATGGTATCCAGAGTCTTCAGCCCCGGAGTGCTGAGCTGCTGCAGCAGCTGCTGCTGCGCCGTGAAGGGTGCTGCTGCGCTGCGGCAGTTTGCTGCTGCTCTCTTAATAATGCTGACAGCAAGTGCAGCACGGCCCCGAGCTGACAAAGCAAGTGTTGCTGCTGACTTCAGAGTCGGCAGCAGCTCGTGCAGCAGCAGCAGCAGGCAGCTGCGCAGCAGCAACAGCAGCAGCACAGCAGCAGCAGCGCCTGCAAATGCCGCAACGGCCACGCAGCAGCAGCAGCAGCAGCAGCACCCGCAGCAGCAACAGCAGCAGCAACAGCAGCAGCAACAGCAGCAGCAACAGCAGCAGCAACAGCAGCAGCAACAACAGCAGCAGCAACAGCAGCAGCAACAGAAACAGCAGCAGCAGCAGCAGCAGCAGCGTACCCGCTCGTGTCTGCAGCGGAGTGGCGCAGCAGCAGCAGCAGCGGGGGCCCCGCAGCATCCAGCGAGCGGGCAAAGCCTTTTGCTGCTGCTGGGGCTATGAGGGCCTCCCAGTCTTGCTGCTGCAGCAGCAGCCCCAAAGGAGAGAAGCAGCAAAAGGCAGCAGCAGCGCAGCAGCGGCGGCCGTCCAGCAGCTGCAGCAAAACAGCAAACGCATGCACCCGCCGTGCAGCAGCAGCAGTCCTGCTGCTGCTCTGCTGCTGCTGCTGCTGCTGCTGTGGTGCTGCAGCTGTGGGGTCTGCTGCTGCAGCGCAGCCATTGGCGCCGCATCGCTCGCGCGTGCTTTTGCTGCTGCTGCTGCTGCTGTTGCTGCTGCTGCTGCTGCTGCTGCTGTTACCTGGAGGAACAAGTGCAGGAGCTTCTCTCGCAAGTCCAGAGCCTCCTTTTTTGCTGCAGCAGCAGCAGCAGCAGCAGCAGTCCCCCCTTTACCTTTGCTGCGCAGCAGAACTTTGCAGGCCCAGCAGCAAAGCAGCCAGCAGCAAAGGCTGCTGCTGCTGCTGCTGCTGCTGCTGCTGCTGCTGCTGCTGCTAATGGTGTTCTCTGCTACCTGTAGCGCATGCGCCCTCGCCTTAGGAGACACCAGCAGCAGCTGCTGCAGCACTTTGGCCCAGGGAAGCTTGAGGGCCTGGCGCTGCAGCAGCTGCTCGATTTGAATTTGCTGCTCTTCGTGCTGCTGCTGCTGCTGCTGCTGCTGCTGCTGCTGCTGCTGCTGCTGGTGCTCCTGCTTGTGCCGGCTCTGGCGGGCGACTGCAGCAGCAAACACGTCGGCAGCAACGCGCTCTATCTGCAGCAAGACACCCCCTATGCTTTTGCTGCAGCAGTCTGCAGCAGCAGCAGCAGCAAGAGCAGCAGGCGGCAGCAGCAGCAGCACGGAGAGGAAGCTGCTGCCCACAGCTGCTGCTGCTGCGCTGCGGCCGAGGCCCTTCATGGTGGCCTGCAGCGTAGAGCAAAACTGCTGCAGCAGCGGCAGCTGCTGCTGCTGGGGCGTGCTTCCTGCTGCTGCTGCTGCTGCTGCTGCTGCTGCTTCTTGGGCGAGAGCCCTTGCTGCTGCGGCTTGCAGGCGGGAGAAGCAGCAGCGCCAGCTGCTGCTGCTGCGCTTGCTGCTGCTGCATGCTGCAGGCGACAGCAGCACGGAGCTGCAGAGGCCCTTGAACTCCTCCTCAGACAGCAAGCTGCTGCTGCTGCTGCTGCTGCTGCTGCTTCTCTCCTTGATCTCATCTAGGATTTGCTGCAGCAGCAGCAGCTGCTGCTGCTGCTGCAGCACTTCCAGGTCACTGAGCTCCTCTAAAGCAGCTAAAAGGCCGGGGGGCCCCTCTAGAGGGGCCCCCAGGCCATCCTGTAGTACCTCTTCTGGCATATTGCGGCAGCAGCAGGTGTCCCGTGGCTAGGGTTTAGGGTTTAGGGTTTAGGGTTTAGGAGTTACGCGAGCAGCAGGCCCCGCTGCCCTCAGCACAGGCCCGGGCGTTTGCTGCTGCAGCAGCAGCAGCAACAGCTGCAGGGGTTGTCTAAATTTGCTGCTGCAGCAGCTGCTGCGCGGTGTCTGTACACCCCGAGAGGGGAAGGCACACCCGAGGCGCCTTTTTGGAAAAGAAATAAAACAAAAATAAAAGTTATGAACAGAAGAAGTGGAGTTTGGAAGGAGCCCCGAGGATTGAAGTGTATGTACACCTGAGCAGCAGCAGCAGCCGCATGCAGCTTCGCCTCTTCCCCTTCCTCCGGGGCTTTCCGTCCGCTTTTTGGACCATTAAAAAGGAAAATTAAAATTAAATTAAATTAATTTAAACATTTCAAAAAGGAAGAAGAGCTGGGGTGTATCTGCTGCAGTTCTTCGGGCGCATGCAGCAGCCGGCTGTCCATACACCCCGCGGGCCCCAACCCCGCAGCTCTCCCGCGCCTTCTTTGCGACTTTCTTTTCAAATTCATTTAAGTTTTATTTCAATTTAAAAGTTCAAATTCATTTAAATAAAGTTTTATTTCAATTTTAAAGTCCAGTGCAAACTTAAAGCCCCGAAAAAGGCTTTTCTTCCGCTGCTTAACACTCGCAGCTGCACACCCAAACCCCAAACCCTAAACCCTCACACTGCGCCAGCTCATGCCAAGGGCTAACCCTAAACCCTAAACCCTAAACCCTAAACCCTGGAGCCCAGCTGCTGCAGGGGCTGCGCGGAACCTCAACTAAGGGTCTACAGAAGAGGAAACAGCTACGCGAAAACGTCCACCCAAGTTGCTGCTGCTGCTGCTGCTGCTGCTGCTGCTGCTGCTGCTGCAGGCTGCAGCAGCAGCAGCAGCAGCAGCAGTAAGCACCTTTCATCTTGTAGTCTCTTTGCTGCTGCAGAACAGACATTTGGAAAATGCAAACCCTGCTTCACCAGCCTTTACTCCTAAACCCTAAACCCTAAACCCTAAACCCTAACGGCAGAAAGCCCATAGGGAGGCAACGAGGTCTCAGCGCGTAAACCCTAAACCCTCGCCGAGACCCCACTCGCGTCATCTCTTATCCCCCCATCTAGGGTTTAGGGTTTAGGGTTTAGGGTTTATTGGGCGCCGCCTTGCTGGCCGCGAACATCCCTGCAGCCACCCCACAGCAAAAGACAATCCAAAGACATTTACCCCTCTCTTGCTGCTGCTGCTGCTGCTGCTGCTGCTGCTGCTGCTGCTGCTGCTGGAGAAGGTAGGGAAGGCGTCAAGGGTTTAGGGTTTAGGGTTTAGGGTTTACGTGAGCTCCAGGCGGTCCCCAGCTGCAGGCCGCTGCAGCCGCTGCCCCGAGCAGCTGCTGCAGAAGCAGCGAGTTCTAGCAGCAAAAGAAGAGGAAGCAGTTAAGGAAAATGCGTCTCCCCGTGCTGCTGCTGCTGCTGCTGCTGCTGCTGCTGGGTTCGCGCTGCTGCTGCTGCTGCTGCTGCTGCTGCTGCTGCCTGCAGCTGCAGCAGCAGCAGCAGCAGCAGCAGCGCGTCGCTTCTCCGCGAGCTTCGATGCCACCATTAAAAAGGCCGCGTCCACGTTCGCGGAAGTCTGCACAAACCCCAAACCCTAAACCCTAAACCCTAAACCCTAATTTCCCAATGAGTAAATAAATTAATTTTAGCTTCAAATGATGGAATTAAAAAACGAAACAATTAATTAAAAAGGGCATGCAAATAAAGCCCCAAAAGCCGACCCAAAGCCCCAATTAGAAACCCTAAAATGGCGAATAAAAAACCCCAAAAAGCCGTTTAAAAACCCTCATAAAAAGGCTCCTATAAACCCTCAGAAAGCGATTCAAAAACCCTAAAAAAGCGATTAAAAAACCCCAAAACAGCGATTCAAAACCCCTAAAAGGGCGATTCAAAAACCCTAAAAAAGCGATTTAAAAACCCCAAACGGCAATTTAAAAACCCAGAACGGCGATTCAAAAACTCCAAAAGGGCGATTTAAAAACCCCAAAACAGAGATTCAAAAACCCTAAAAGGGCGATTCAAAAACCCTAAAAGGGCGATTCGAGAACCCCAAAACGGCGATTCAAAAACCCTAAAACAGCGATTCAAAAACCCCAGAACAGCGATTCAAAAACCCTAAAACAGCGATTCAAAAACCCTAAACAGCGATTCAAAAACCCTAAAACAGCGATTAAAAAACCCCGAAAAGGCGCTTCAAAAACCCTAAACGCGCGACTAGAGCCCGCCTGAAGCGGCGGTTAGAAAACCCCAGAACGGCGGTTAGAAAACCCTAAAAAAGGGTTTAGAAAGGGGTTTAAAAGCGAACCTTGGCGGAAGTGCATGCGCATGCAGCCCCAATTGAAGCAGCAAAAGCCCGAGTCTCTTCTTCCGAAACTTCCAGTTTTTCTTCCAAGTCCATTTTGTTGGCTATCACCATCAGAAAGGCCGAAGGGCCCAACGCGTGGTGCTCCTTTATCTAATAATAAATAAATAAATAAATAAATAAATAAATAAATAAATAAATAAATAAATAAATAAATAAATAAATAAATAAATAAATAGATAAATAAATAAATAAATAAATAAATAAATAAAATAAATAATAAATGAATAAATAAATAGTTAATTAATTAGTTAATTATGAATGGATAAATGTGTGTGGAAATGATGTAAATATATAAATGGATAAGTTAATAATTAATGAATTAGTAAATGAATAAATAAATATACAAATAAACAAATAAATAAATAAATAAATTAATATTTAAATAAATAAATAAATAAATAAATAATGAATTTTTTTTTGAGGTTGGAAGGCTGAAAAGAAAATGAGAAATTAAAAGAGATTAAAGGAATAAAAGAGATGCATTGGGAGAGCAGCAAAAGTAAAGAAACAAACAAAGGCAGCAGCAAGACAGAAGTGCAGCAGCAGGCACTTTTTTGCTGCTGCACCGCAGCAGCAGTTGAAGCAGCGCGACGCAGCCGCAGCAGCAGCCGGAGCAACAGCAGCAGCAGCACCACAAACAGCCACAACAGCAGCAGAACCACCACCACCATTATCATCAGCAGCAGCAGCACAAGCAGCAGCAGCACTGCAGCAGCAGCAGCACTGCAGCAGCAACAGCACTGCAGCAGCAGCAGCGCCACCACCAACAAAGCCATCACCAGG